CTTCTAACACACTATATATATAATAGAATAGGAAGAGAAGCATCTCTAACTAGTCTTTAATAGCTTCCACCTCCTACTCATACACTATATTCTCATTCATTATATACTAAGACAGGTGAGTAATACTATATAAAGACTTATCAGTTCCCTACCTCCCTCCCCTCCAACCCTAAGGCATTTGTTCTCTGATTTCAGACATTATACAGTTGGCTGTTTATATACTCTAGTATTAAAACTAGTAAAGACAATTCAATATAGAAGAAATTGAAAGTGAAAGTAAGTTACTATCCTTAGTATTGTTTAGACTATTGTTCTGATGACTTCTTTCTGTAGTAGAGGAAGGTAAATTACTATACAACACTGTTAATGAGTTAATGTATAATGAGTCTGAACCAAGGGACTATAACTGTACTATAGTCTAGCACTTTACAGAACATGCTAGTAATGTGTTTATAAGTGTGAAGGCTATAAAAACATCTATTAGTAGTCTGTGAGATGAGCTTCAGCAGCTTAGGAGCTAGGTGTAAGAGAGGTTCTAAAAGGTTGACAACAAATTACAGGACCATAATAACAAGTTTGAGGACTAAGACAGAATGTAGGAGGAGGTACTAGGACACATGAGTACAATAGAGAGATATTTGACATATAATGTATAAGATTCCTTTCCCTTTTTAAGGAAATTACTTATACCTTTTTACAGTCTGCCCCTGATTATCATGTGATAATCAGAAGGCAAATAATTGATAGGGGACAAGAGTGTTTTTCAGTAGGAATACACTCCTTCTTTAACAAATTTCTTTATTTGTTTTATTAGTCTAGTGACAATAGCCTCTAGAGGGTTGTTTGGAAGAAGTGTTTTAATAGTAATCTTCTGTATGATTCCTCTATACAAAAAGCAAAACACAGAATGCTTTAAAGGTGTCTGAATCATAAAGCCTATTCCTCTACCTTAGTAACACCTGCTCTAACAACACTAAGCAAGTCTGAAAGTGAGTCACACTCTGTCTTAGTATAGTTGATCTTGTCACACCTCTCTAAGACTGTAAATGTTAAGCCTAACAGTGATAAACATTTTAGGAAATATTACTCTCTGTTCTACTTATTGAAAAGTAGTGTTTTTACTACTAATTGGAACATTTGGTGGTAGAGGATAGTGTTTAGTAATAAAATCAAATTTTCTTACAAGGATACATTATACAAGATAATCACAAAAGAGTTTCAAGGGTTAGACTTAAATACAGTTCAGGTATAGAAATACATAATAGACTACTTTCTTAAAATAGTGTTTAGAAAGACTGTTGAATACAAAGCTGACTTGCACAACTAGAACTTAGTACAATTTGACTCAGACATATTTATTACAGAAGCTAAACTAATATGTAACCACCTAAAATCTCTACTGTCAGTAGAGGAGTATAAGCTTTTTCTATTTTACACCTGTTTTGTGTGTAGAATACTTAACAATCTGTCAGTCTTATTTAACATCCTTATTAAGGCAATCAATCTGTAAGAATATAGAAGTGTAGCTACTTATAGTATTGAACTTCCACTCAGGTTGGATGAGGATAGGAAAGTTGTATAGGGTCAAGCTATAATAGAAACACTTACTACTAATGTCCTGTCAAAATATACAAAGTATGAGAGGCTGTTGTTAATTTTTAAGCTTATGAAAACTGTAGATTAGTTTAATATTCAATACATTACTAAGGAAGAGCTGTAGAAGATAGCTAATATATAACAATTGTGTTTTTAATCAGATTATTTACTATGTAAAACAGGACTACACTACAATTTAATCTAACTATAGACAAACACAGTTGCTTATTTATATAAAACCACATTCACCTAAAGTTGTAGTAATAGTATAGAATGTAAATCAGTTATCCCTCCTGACTAGAAAACAATGAATGAAGACTATATACTAGCCATATTCACAGTGTTTATAGAAGGCACAGTAGTTGGTCTCACCAATTAACATGACTTCTCTATAAAGTCTAGTATAGACTATAGTATTGTCTCTACCCTCTAGTAGAGAAACATGCTAGAGTCAGGATTTGAGTAACAAAAATGCTAGCTCAATTAGGTTGAAGTCAGAAGAGTATACTAGTAAGAACTCCAGCCTTATGTGTTAGTAACAGTATAGAGGGGACCCAAAGGCTCAGTGAGAGGATCTAGACTACAACTATCTTACACAATAGAAATACAGAATACAAGTACTAGAACATAGTCAGAACTCACAGAACAAACATAGAGAGAAAGTGAGACAAGAGTAGAGTATATAGAGTAAGCCTAAGAGTACAGGACTATCTAGAGTAAACAAGATCAAGACTACAGGACTAGTCTGATCTTGTATACCTATATATACTAAACTACACAAGAGTACTTAGGGAGTATAAGCTACTAAGAATGATAAGCTATAAAGAATGAAAGAAAGGAAGGTCAAAGATAAAGGTACAAAGAATGAAGGGATAGATAAAGGGTAAGAGACTATAGAATGAACAAAGAATGAAAGGGTGGTCAAAGGAACAGAATGATAAAGTAAGGAGGGGTAGTAGTAAGAGTCAGTACACATATAGTCTATAGACAGTACTTCTAAGGGACAGAAGTTCTGAGTTCTGGTACAGAAGGGTGTAGAACTCTCAGAACTAAAGGTACAAGAGTAGAGAACTGTAACATCATGCCTCTAAACAGACACAGTATAATAAAAGTCTACACAATAATCTAGTAAGAAAAACATCTTACCTAGATTCAATAAGCTAGTACACTTTATTAGACTTGTAAATAGAGTAATTGTCTATAATAATAACTAAGTTCCTTACTAGCTAGAGCTACATGTTGTCCAGGAGACTATTAATAAACACTGTAAAGGAGTTTGTATTGAACAAGCCTTTAATAATAACACATTCAAGCATCCTATCTAGAGAGATAGTAGGAAGAACCAAATACCTATATGAATTAAGTTCTAGCTTGTGTAATTTTAAGAATGTAGTAAAGTACACCTTTTTCCCCTAGTAAAGAACTGTTTCTAAGTAGCTTAATAGTTATGTAAGACTTACACCTTGTTTTGTAAGAAGGTTCAACAGTCACAAGCACTCTTACTGACAAATACAAGTTGCTTAAGAGTGTATTATAAGTTTATCCTAAGACAGTATTCTATTTGAGTAGTTTTACTTTGTTTCTATACTTTCTTTATAATCTAGACTTGGTTAGATAGGTATGAACATTCTTACATACTAAAGAAGGCAGCACCTTCTTCATTGTGAAGCCTGTACACTCTAGTATCTACTATACTGTCAAGTCTAAGACAAATTTACTAAACACTCTGTCTAGTATGTTCTTGAGTTTGTTAAGAAACAGATCCTTACAGAAGTTGACAGTACTGAGTAGATACTGACAGTACAATAAGTAACTCAGTAGGTAACAATACATTCAGAAGCTCACATAAACATCTGGATATTCTAATACTCTTAGCCTTCCTGTCTGTCAACCATCTCTCTCAATACTACTAGTCTCTTAAACCTACTAGTTAATACAGAATATTGTATAGTAGTTAATACCTGTCAGAGTAGAAAGATGATTTGTACTGAACTCCTTAGCCTTAAACAGATTCTGTATAATCTGTCAGGCATTGTTTGAGAGAGCCTTTCTACAAGTTATAGTAGTTGTGTCAAAGTAGAAGTGTATTACACACTCATAGTATAACACACATACTGTAACCACTTCTCTCCTCTAAAGAGTATTACACACTCACAGTATAATGTATGTACTACAACCACTTCTCTCTAGTTTACATTCATGTTTGTTGTGTCTGTTGTGTGTCTTTTAGCTCCTTTATACACTGTATAAGTTATTCTCATTCTATATGTCTGAACAGGTTTTTAGTAGTAATAGAAACAAAACAGAATAATGTCTAGCTAGTAGGAACCTAGGTAAGGTTATAATAATACTCAGGTAGCTTTGACTGGTCCAGATGCATCTTTTCATTCATTACATACAGATGAGGGTAGCTGAGTGTGTTTATGACAATCTATAAGCTAGCTCCTGTGTGGCTCAACCAAGTACTTTCATCACGAAAAAGTCTTAACAGTTGTATTAGATTATAACCTAGTATATTTTTTACTTTTTGTAAATTTTGTAAAAGTGATAATAACTTAGATAGTGGTTTTCACAAGTCAATTATAATTTAGTACAAGTAAAGCAAGAATCCAGAATAGTTATTAAAATTACTGATATTAATTACAATTGTACATATTGTCAAGATATACAAGTGATTATAACATACCTCCTGAAATAATAATGTTAGAATATACTTATCAAAATTTAACAGTATAGTATCCTCTTACAATTTATACCAGTCATTACAAGCATTTGAATAGCTTGTTTTGGCTTTGCTTACAAATTTGTAATAAATAATTAATAAAATATAATTATATTTGATTATAGAATACAAAAAGATAATAAATAATACATTATTTCTACAATCCCATCCCTGCACCACCAGCAGCCTCTGTCTC